GCTTGCCTGCTTGCCTGCTTGCCTGCTTGCCTGCTTGCCTGCTTGCCTGCTTGCCTGCCTCTGTGAGTGTTTGTTCTATGTTTTAAAAATACTTTGATTGCTCACCATTCACCTCATTAAATGTTGTAACACAGGCAAACCTTCGCCGTGGTACTCCAAGCAAGAAAGCATTCCTCACGCCTGACGAAACGGCCGTGGTAGACAATGAAGTTGTGGACCACTCCCTGGCATCTTCAAAAAGCATTTAAGCGCAAAGAAAAACCATGCCGACCGCATGTGCCTTTTTTTTCATTGAGAAAATTATCCAATTTTTGTAGTTTACGCCAGAATTCGGCTTTTTTCTCGACGTCAAGTGGCTTCGCTGGGAATTGTATTGAAATCAGCAGTATAACACTTGCAAGTTTTCACAAAAAGTTTTAGCTTCGCAAAAACGTTTATTGTCTTGCTTGCATATATCCTTTCATTTCGTTAAGCGTTGTATCCTGGAACATTTACTCCTGCAAGCTGGCTAATTTTCAATTTTGTTTTTGCAAGGTAAAACCCTTTATATCAAGCTAATAGTAATTTTAATTTAAATAAATAATAAATAAAGAATAGTTTAAAAAGATAAATCAATTTAACAGGAGTTTAGCTGCCCACATTGATTTAACTAGGTTAAATATCTAAGATAAGCTAATTTACGTGATTTTTGCRTTTTGTTTTTATTGCAACAAAAATGACTGACTAACACAGCAAATTTGACAAGACACGCGAGAAAGAGCTTCAGCAAGGAAGCAGATTGACTTTGAACTTCAAGACTATAAAATCTGCATCAAACCGAATCTGGCGTTTAACATKGGGTCGTAAAAACATTAACCACATTTACAAAAAGAGTCATCTACATTAATTTCGACTGACTAAAGAGTTATAAAGCGAGTAACAGTTAGTTTAGCTACTGCAAAAATAAAAAATAAATAAAAAAATGATATTGAACATTTTACACTTTCTGATCTGATTTTGTCTAGCCAATTGGATTATTTGGTAATGATTCATAAGGACCTCAAAGATTCCAGTATCAAGCAGCCAGCATGTCTATAGTTCTTTCCAATCAACTCAAGATATCTGTATTAGTGTGTTTTCTTATCGTTTCTATTCAACAACTAGCGCCGCTAAAATGAAAACCCTCTTGAGATTTCAGCTGTTGGTGAAACGGTCGTGATCCTCTCAATGAAGATATACATTTGCGACTAATGACGTGGACAAGTATAAATAGGAATAACGGTCTAAAAATKGTAGCATGGTTATAATTATGTTATTATCAAAAGCGTTGAAATGGGGATTGTTTCGAGTCAAAGTTGATGTACATATATATACTTTTTATATRCTTTTATATACTTTTTTATATACTTATCAAATCTAGACCGAATGGCAAGAATGGAATTCTATTTTTTCTCGTGTAAATTTGACAAGTTCACTTGCTTTTCTTTCTTCTACTTTTCTTTTTCTTTTGACCTTAATATTTGCTCATTAAAAACCGACTGTTGTTAACCAAAGTAAACGTGTAGTGAGCCATATATAAATGTGATGATTCCGTGTTGATCATTTATCACTTCCTTTAATTSACTCAACAAATTACTGTCAAAAAATAATAACAGGATTTTCAAGAAAATTTATTAACAACAAATTTTATATTACAAGTTCGAGTGTTATAGGAAATATGAGAGTAAACACAAAAGAAGTCCTTACAGTGGCATGCAGACAAGGAACCTTTYTCGGCTCCTCTCACTTCCCTTTTGCGCACGTCATTTCCTGCGTTTTGAAGTGTGCGCGCGCGTGCGGAATTTCCCGCCATTTTGGCGTAAGATCAAAAAACCACGAAAGTGTGTGTGCGCACTGCGCACCAATGAAAAAGAACCAAAAGCCGGAAATCTTTTCAAATTATAGGTTTTCTTTTGTATTATATGTATAATTACAAATATTTGATCCGAAATTAAAAGTAAATAGTAAAATAACCCCGTAAATCAAACGCCTACTTTGTCAWCTAAGTCGTTTATCTACTTAGCATAACTTTTCCCAAGGTTTTACTAGAGAATTATGACGGGTGAAGCTCGTGTTGTAGGAAGTCGGGAGAGYAGTTTCGATTGGAAGGAATCTGAGGTCGCTTATCGCAACATTTAAGCGAGCGAACTTGGGTTAAAACGGATAAAGCCATTATGTTAAAGCACTTGAAACCACTTGAACATGTCACTGTTCCTGGCAGACTCGCATGGTGAAGTGACACTCTAACAAAATAACATAAAATCMAAATCCAAATGACCTGATTTTTTTAATATAATCAATAATAATCATTTTTCATTCCGATTCTGAGGGGTAAAATAACAAATGACATAAATGTGAAATAATTTGGAAAATATAATGGTTCTTTAGAAGTTAGCCATGAATCCGAGAAGAGCAGACTTTTGGACTCCATCATTAATAGGGTAGCGACGAATTATGTGGKTTAATACATCCACAAACAAAGGTACAAAATATTTCGGGTTTTTTCTTTGATTTTGGCGCTGATATTCTGTCGGTTCGTTCATCGAGAATGATTATCAAGAGGGCTGGAATTGAAATGAAATTTCATTGTTGGAGCGTGCACGTGTAATGTTGGCAAGGGTCTTGAAGGCGCCAGCGACGRTCGATCCACATAGATTCATAGGATTAGCCATTGTCAAGCACTACGCTTGATGGCTGTTGGAGATCAGAGAAAGATAGGCAAATAGTTAAGAGATACTTATTGCATTAAGCAAGCAGACTATATTGCACAAGTGCCATCAAGACAAATCACACCCTCTGGTTGAATGTCCAATTTTTCGGTCAATAACTTCATTTAGTATTTTGCGTCTGAACTGCGTCTTTTCATTTTTTGAGTTAACAGAAGCGCCCATGCTTTAAGACTCTAAATTGATTTGGTAACTTGTCGTAGCCTGGCTGACGCTATAATTCTTCATATCTTTGTACAATTTATCCTCTTATAATAATATCGCCCAATCAAAAAGGACGACACAAAGACAGCAACTAAGGCAACAACGCTTCAAAGCTCGATCACTGGATTAGACTGGTACAACCCACAAGAAGAGGTACACTCTTTATCTTCAGCTTCTGCTAGAGACTCGACATCCCAAAGCTTAAAACTGATTTYTTGAGAAGAAAAGTGGAACTTTTGGTGTAATTATCTAATCCTTGAAATTAAACAGGATTATTACCAGGTAAGACTAAGAAATTTGAACTCGTGTAAAGCTAGATCAGATGTCATGATTTGGTAGTTGTGGTATAGTCGAGTATTTTTGACATCAACACCCGATCTAATTGTGGAGTCTGTGTTGGAATCTTGTGTTCGTAGTTTAATGCACGCGATTGTTCATACAACCAACCCTATCAAGATTTTTATAGCAGCTATCCTTATCTTCTGCAATACTTACTTTAGGTACATTGTACAAAAAAACACAATTGAAAAATCTGCTGTTTTTACAAGAGCTATYTCTTCGAAATAATGCGCAAAAAAGTATGCAAAATTTCCAAACAGAAATCCTAGTTTTGATTGGTGACATTTTTGATTTAATTCTGTAAATCATTTTTGATGTGACAAATGTTTTAGTTAAAGATGCACAGCTCATTTCTGTGTAGAAATCTGAAAATTTAGAATCTTAAACCCATTGGAATGTACTTATATAAGTGTCATAACATAACATACGAGAATAGTAGACATGACGCAAGTACTCAGTAGTTGATCGGTTCCACGATGGAGGGTATTAAGGCTTCTCTAACCATAACATTTATTCGCCTCTTATTTTATTTCCGTCTGATACGCTTTTGCCCCGATGTGATGAAACCACGCAAGGAAGTTCAATTATATTAGCGTGTTTAAGCGCTCTTGTTTTAGGAAATGAWTTGACCTATACCTTGTTTAGTGCAATAAGTCGCTTAGATTTGCTCTCAAAAAAATTCGGCTGTCGTCAATAGAGATTTTTGTAGCTGAATAGCTAACAGTGAAGAAATTATGCYTATATTTTTATGAAGTACAAACAAAAACGCGTAGAAAATGCTTGAGATATGTCTAATAAACRGCTTTTTATGATTGATTGTTAGTTTATGATAAGGGCATAACCAAGCAACTTTAACGAGGCTGGATGTCGCGTGAGTTGAAGTAAATAGCTCAAGGACACTAATCCCCTCGTGAATCATTGACAATAAAGACTAGCCATCGTACCATTAATAAAGTTCAAGGGCGTGCGAAAACGTTTGAGTTAAACAGCGTGAATTTTCTCCAARAAAATTCTTGAAGAAGGTACAACTGCGTCTGAAATACTGATGACGATAAGCCCTAGTCCACTAGCCCGAATATTTAATTTATCTATTGATCTAAATCTTATCTTGCTATTCAAGCATTCATGTCAAGCATATTTTGTTCGCGAACAAATTGAGGTTATTTAGCGACCTGCCGTTTTGACTGAAAATAAAATCTCTACAAACAACTCGAAGACAAAAACATTAAGGGTGATTATCGCTAAAACGATCTTCATAAACCACAATTAAAATTTAATCCACATCAGCAAATGTTGGTATTATTGTTCTACGCTCAACAATTATCCGTTCATAGCAGGTCTAGTCTGGATTAGTAAACCTTGATATTACCTAGACCACACACCGCTAGAATAACTAAGCTGTTTTCTAACTTTGTCAAGAAAGCTTAGATTGTCAGTGTCTTAGGGCTCATTCCGCCGAGTTCGGAGTCGCGTTGGCGTTGTGTGGCGCCATTACGGTAATCGTGTGATTTTCAATAAGGTCTGTTAAAACAATAAGAAAATTGTTAATGACTTGTTTATCGATCTAATGATTGATTTAAGACTTAGYCATAACTATGTAGGAGTCAGGAAGGCGCGTTGAAGTGATTCCATTTCACGGTTGATGAGATGTGATGAATAGAGGGCTTATATTCCTCTTGAGTTAAGCCCTCGTCAACAGGTGTGTAAGTGGTCGTCCCTAACGGCACTTCAGCACTTACTCTAAACAGWTAAGAACCTTGTAAGCCGACCAGTCGACCTCCACATTTCGACCACCCCTTATAACTGAACACTTCTGAACAAATAACATCTATCAAAACTTTAGCACTTAAAYCTAAACAGACCCAGAACCTTGTAAAGCGACCAGACTTCCAAATTTCGACCATACGGCCTCATAACTGAAAACTTCTGAACAAATAACACCTAACAAAACTTCAGCACTTAAGTATAGATAGACCAGAACCTTGTAAACCGAAGAGACCTCCACATTTCCACCATCTCTCATAACTGAACACCTTTGCAAATCTACTAATAGACCCCTTCACAGTTCCCTGCGCCATCTTGAAAGGTAGCCGTACCTTTGCATCGAAGCGAGACGAACAGTGAGCTTGCAATGATAGAGACCTTTTTTAACACCTTGAACAATTATTCACATGTCTCTATCATTGCAAGCTGACCGTTCGTCTCGCTTCGATGCAAAGGTACGGCTACCTTTCAAGATGGCGCAGGGAATTGTGAAGGGGTCTATTGGCTTATATCCGGCACATGAATGTGTGGTATGGCGTACGCATTTTTCTTTAAGCCTCATGTTCATGCAGGACAATATTGAAAGGAGACCAGTCTTGTTTTTCTTCCCCAGGGGAACACCAAGAGTGTTAGTCCTAGCAGTAAGGTCGCCGTACTTTATGTAATCGGCACCCATGTAATATATAACCGTGAAATGACTATAGCATGTGATACTATCCACAGGGTAACCATGAACGTGAGCAGTATCATAATCTTGCTTCTTTGTCTCATCTGGGTGGACTGCAGACCAAGATCAAATCTCGACATCGAGGGGCTAGAAGGAACTAATGAAGAAGTCTTCATCATGAACGACTCACAGCTCAAACGTGGTTGGTGTAAAACAAAACCATTCAAACAAGTGATCCAAATCGATGGCTGCCTACCTGCA